CCCACGACCTATCCGCGGCCCCCGGGAGGGCTGCGCCACGGCCCCCGGTCCTGACACACAGTGGTGTCCCGCGGGTTTCACCAGGCCATGCCCCTCTGCGACCCCCCTGCGACTGGCGCTGACCAGTGTGTCAGTGCTCGTGAGCCCCGAAGGGGCTTCTAGGGTCCCCAGGGAGTCTGTGCAGGTTCACAGAAGTCCATGGGTACGTCATCGCCGCTCAGTGCACGCTGCTAAACAACCTCACGGCTTCAGTGCGCTGTTTTTTCCAGATGTTGTGTTGAGCAGTTGAAGTTGTTGCCCAGAACTTGGTTTTATTTATTAAAAAAAAAAAAAGCCAAACTAAAATTAAAATGCACAGAACGATTAAGACACAAATTTTGTGAGCACGATCGTTCGTGGGCGGGTGCAGTCTTACTGTGAAAGGGGTTGACAGCTGTTCAGGAGCACAGTAAAAGTCATTTTAGAGAGACGACCCACATAAGTGAAGCCATATGGATGATTTAAGGAGCGATGAGTAGGATCCTGAAATAAGTTTTGTGTCATAAAATGTATTCACACAGAACAACAAGTAGTTTTCATTATATTTCTTGTGTTTGGTACTTTTGAAACATCAATTTAAAAGTAATTTTAGCACATACTTACTTAGAATAACTGATAATTCTTTATGCTGTTGATAGATTGTCAGAAAGGAACTGTATAGAAATTGTCACTAAACTGATTGCGGAAAAGCAGTTGGAAGTAGTGCACACACTTGATGGAAAAGAGTATGTCACTCCAGCGCAGATTAGTAAAGAGATCCGGGATGAGCTTCATGTTTGTGGTGGTAAGTGTGGTATTTGCTTTCTTCCTCTGGATTTGGAAGTTAATTTTGAAAACTGCACCAAGAATTTGAAAATTTTCTTCAGTACTCTTAATCTTGCACAAATTGCTAGTCATTTTGCTATGATTACCACAAGTGTGTTCAGTTTGTTATGCCATTGTGTATCGTATCAGTATGATAGCTTGAACTGAATTTAAAATTGCTGGTTTTGTTAACATCACACAAAGGTAGAAAGTTTTGTCAATCCCTGTTTTGATACTCATGGACTAGTCATCAAATCCAGATGACCATCAAGGCAAAAACTAATTGGGAGGGAGTTTGAACAGTGATTTTTACTGTTGGAGTTTCTGTATTGGATTGTCAGCAAGGCCGTAGGGTAGAACAGTGTCAGTTATCTTGCACTGACCATCTGTGATTTGACTGTATGTATAAGCTGAAGTTGGTTTAATTCGTCTACAAAAAGGTAATGAAGAAATATTTTGTACATGATGGACTGTGCTGTATTCTATATCTGTTTGAACATGGCTTATGTACTAAAAGTGTATTTGTACTTTTTTTTTTTGAAGGTCGAGTAAACATTGTTGACTTACAGCAGGTAACTTTTTAGTAATAAAAAACTATATACTTCTTTATTCTCTTCACCATGTGTACTGTAAATATGGAGTTTGTGGGTTACACTCCAGCTAAGTTACTGTTTTCAAAGAGAACAGACTTTATGAAGAGCTGGTAGCTTGTCTCAGAGTACTGCAGGTTACTTCAACCATCCGTTTAGTGCTTTATTGAAAGCTCCTCTGCTTAATGATAATCTGCAGCCTCTGAAATCACTACTAAAATATACAGATTTTCTTTCTGAACTCTTCTTCGTAAACTAATGGGGGGCAGACAGAAAAGAAATATGTTTCCCATTTAAATTCAAATCTGCAGGAGCATGCATAATTAACTTTTCATGCTTCTTTGGATCTTTCCTCTTCCTTCATTAATCTCTTGTCTCCCCTAATCCTGTAGTCTTCCTCTGTGACTAATTTTCCCTTCTAGCTCGAGTAAAATTACTTGGAATAAGAAAACCTTCCTGAAAGACAATTTAGTATTTACTTTTCAGAACTTCTTGATTTTTTTCTTTTATTATATAGGTTTCTTCTAACCTTGTCACAGTTGCAAAGAGAGGGGCTTTTTTCCCCTTAAATCATTGCTGATTTATTCCAAATCACAGATTGATTGTGTATATGTGCAATAGTATAAAAAAATAAAAGCAGCTTTCCTGAAGACATAGCAATGTGTAAGTATAATATCTCACTGTTTGAGAATTAACTTCAGTTTAAAGTTCTGATGAGAGGTTTTGTTGGGTTTTTTTTAGGTAATAAATGTGGACCTTCTGCACATTGAAAACAGAGCTAACGACATCGTTAAATCAGAAAAAACTATTCAGCTTGTACTGGGACAGCTTATAAATGAGTGAGTACTTTCAGGAGCAACATGGATCATGCGCATTTCTTTTATTTTTTTAAAAATGAAGACTAAAAGTGATGGCCAGCCTTTGTGGCTTCTGAAGTGAAATACACTTTTCTTGACTGCTCCTCGGGCCACTCGGTCATCAGTGCTTCTTTTCCGAATGGCGAGTGAGGCCTATCTCAGCAGGACATCTAGGGAATCCAGGAGAAAAGGCCTTACTGAATGTCTCTGCCCAGTGTCCCACATTTAAGAGGCTTCATTTTTTACCCAGTGTTTTTGTGTACAGCAGCCAGATCTCATGTGCTCTGTGGCTTTGCTGTCTGCCTCAGCTGTTGACAAACCTTCTCATTTTTCTCCCACCTCTTGCTTTACCTCATAATCCTGAGACGAACGAGACAGTTATTGCATGGCATTCAGCACACTGGCAACCACTGAAGTAACACTCTTGTGAGGTTTTCTCTATTATTGATTGTGCTGCAGGATTTCTTCTTGGCAAAGAATGTGAAGTTCCTGGCTCTCTTGAAATAATTAAGAACTATCTTGATCACTAAAGCCTTTTCCTATGTCTTACTGATATATGTTTTCCTGTTTCTGCTTTTTGATAGTTTCATGCAAGCAGATAAATGGCCAATTTTAATAGTAGCTACCTGGTTAAGCTTTTTAAAAAACCCCACATTTTCACTGACATTGTTCTTTTTTATTCATTTAAAATAACTTTCAGTTTATTTTTGCAAACAGAAAGAGGTGCAGTGCCAGGTCAGTTAATAATTCAGCATGTGAATAACAGATTGATCTTGAATTTCACACTTAATGTGTTGGGGTTTTTTTTTTCTTGTTTTTAAATAAGGAGTTACCTGGATCAATTAGCAGAAGAAATTAATGATAAACTACAGGAAACTGGCCAGGTGACAATATCGGAACTCTGCAAGGCATATGACCTTCCAGGAGACTTCCTGATACAGGTGATGCAAGCCACCAATGTAGCAAATGTGGAATTGATTATGTTCACTTTCTTTTGTCATCTTTGCAATATCCATGGCTTTAATTGTGATGAGCTGCTTGTTGTTCTAAGCAGAAAAGTATTAGATACATAAAGGTTAAAGTGTAAACGGCTATTCTTAGATTGAGGTTGAAGTTTGCCTTTTCACTTCTGGGCAAAATTTCTTCAGAAACTTTATGATTGTTAGGGTTAGGAATGTTAGGAACAGGTTAGATTAGTGGAAGATCTGGAAATGTCTTTGTTTGAAATATTAGAGAGAAGGTGTAGGGGTGATTTCATCAGTCTCATTAGCTATCCAGGAAGCAGAAATAGAAAAGACCCCTCGGTTTATTCAGAAAAGGCAAAATAAACATTTGTTTCTAGAAGCTGAAGCCAGACACTCAGACATTCTGAATAGAAATAAAAATCTTTTTACCTTTGTTAGTGACTGTTGTAGTGTTTAAAAGGATTAGGGAGCATTCTCTTACCATTGTTGACTTTCAGTCAACGCTGGATTTTGTTTGGGAGATACTTTTTTCCAAGGGTAATCCTGTGGCATGTGTTAGGTGAACAGTCATACTGACTACCACGGACAACCTTGTTGACTCTCAGTTTATGAACAGATTTCCTCTGATTTTGTTGTATGATCAGCTTCATTCTAGCTACAGAACATTTCAGAATTCAGCTACAGAAACATTTCTAATATACAGAAATTATGGCATGGTTTCTCTTTGTTTCCTGGGCAATATTTCCTGTGTTTAGTTCACTTTGAAAGGGTGCACATTTATAAACTGTTGGCGCCTCTTTCTTTTGTGTTTATTGTTGCTGATGTTATCTTGACTGTTTAAAGAAATGGATAGTGAATTCCTCTGCCACTGTTTCATACAAACTTAATACAAAGGTTAAATCTTATTTTTCATTGTACATTTCCAAACCATATTTACTTCTTTCGCTAAGTGTTCTTTCATCATTAGATACAAATATGTCTGATAGAAGAGAGTATTGTTAGGAAAGCTGAATTCTCTGAAGATTGGAGTATGAGCCATAATGGCATCGACTTACATGTAGTAAGACATGTTCTTAATGTACCTAAATAATCATTTCCACTTGTAGTTCTCATTTCTGAGTATTTTGTCTGTCTTAGCAAAACTAATTTGCTGATCTGTTAATACAGATTTTTTGATTAATTTTTGTTTAACATCATTAATATACAATTTTAGCAGTCATCCCATCTTCTATTTACAGGCATTATCCCGGCGTTTCGGTAGAATTATTCACGGACAACTAGACCAGGAAAACTGTGGGGTGATTTTTACAGAAGCCTTTGTGTCCCGGCATCGAGCACGCATTCGTGGTCTCTTCACCGCGATTACTCGGTAAGTTGCAACACCTGCATGCACATATTAAAATATTTTTACCATAGCTCTTTATGGACCAAATTCACTTGTGATTGAAAAAGAAAAGAAAATTAAGACCTACGGATAGATTTCTTGAAGTGTAATTCAGTTCCTGGGGTGAAATATTTAGTTATATTAGACTTACTTTTTTGAAATGGGGACCTCCTTTTCAAAGGAGTTTTTTGGCTGAAGAAAATGTTAATCCGATGTCCTTTGATTTGTTTGGAGACTATCTGTCCTCATTTTCATTCCACAGCTCACCAGTGAATTGCGCATTGCACCTACCCACTGTGTGTGGTTATAGATTTTTTTTTTCTTGTTAAATCAGTAATCTTCTGTGTCAGTTTGTATGAAGAGAAAAACTTGGGACAACAAAAGTTTCCTTAAAATAATTATCGTAGCTTTGTTATAAGATATAACTTCATAGTAATTCAAATTTAGAACCTTGCAAGCTGTGTAAAACATCAGTGTAGCACCCTGGGGCTAAGATACTGTGTAGTTTTGTCCATCTGGAGTAGCCTCTTATTTCTAGATTCTCCACATCAATTTCAGGTCATTAACTTTGCTGATTTGTTTTGCTTGTTTTTTTTTCCCCAAGGCCTACACCTGTGAGTAACTTGATCACTCGCTATGGATTTCAAGAACATTTACTTTACTGTGAGTTTCATTCAGACTGTTTTGTATTTTCATTAGTTAATTCATAGATCCTTCATTACTAGACGTATGCTTTCAAAGAAGCATTTTAGTATATAGCCTTAATTCTGGAATAAAGAACAATATGTTTCTCTCTAGTGTAAAAATGTTAAACGTTTTGCACTGTTCATAACTGGATGTTCTCTGTATGTAAAGCAACGAAAGCATATGTTGATGAAATGCCTCTGGGGGCAGAATGATGCAAGAAGTACAGTGCTCATTTTGTCATCTGTTTCTTTATTTGCCCTTAGCTACTGGCAGCTTTATCAGTGAAGCACACAAAAGGGGACAGATTTTATATAGCCAAATGGCATTAACTGCTCTGGATTTCATTATTGACTTGTCTCTGTGATAGGGGATGCAGAGCTTTGGTTATGCTCTTAGTTAAATGTCTTTATATGCTGAGAGCATATCCTCAAACTGTTTACTTTTATTTTCTGCCATTCCTTTTTAAAATAGAAACTGATAAAGATTTCCTATCCAACGGCTGAAACTTTTTGGCAGTACTTAATAATTGTTTTTTCACTTCTGATGTTGCAGCTTTTCTTTGACTACCAGGAATCCCTTCCCATCTCTCCAGAATGCTGCTTCACCGTTAGTCTTATATGCTGACTGACGAAGTGCTGCTGTCTTTGGGATCCTTTAATGATTTTTTTCCTCTCTTCTCATGAAAATTAATCTTTCTCTTTTGTTTGACTGGGTCTTTTTGCCTTTAGGGCATTGCACACTTTAGCTCCACTCTCCGCTTACTTTCCTGTTCTTTGTAACAAGCTTACTCATTAATAATCACAATCTTAGCATTTAAATAAAAACATATAAACACTCTACTTTCACATAATCAATTTAAGGTTTCCTCTTTTTTTTGGAATGTGCCATCCAGGTATTCATAGATTAAAAGGAAAATCTGTTAAACTGCATTACAGCAATGTTGCAGTACCCACCAAGTTTCTGTATGCAGTTACAGTCTTTTTTCAGACAGGTCCTGCAAGTACCTGATCATGTATTGCTCATGCACAGTGTTAATGTGAATTGAAGTTCTAGTGTTTTCTTGTCAGCAGTAATCAGCACAATGGCTAATTGTATTTCTAGTACTCTTTTTTTCTTGTTTTGTTTTTTTTTGTAGTGAATGTTTTCGTCTTTTTCTATTTTTTTTTACTGTATTGCATTTCCTCTGCAGTTTCATGAGTTTCAAAGAGATCTTTATGCACTACCAGAGCCTGTTTGATTTTATTCTATCCGTTTTCTGAGATACCATTTCGATTCCACAGATGCTGGAAACTTGAAAAATGTCTCTTTAATGATGTTAGTTATACTCTTCACTTCTTATATTTGTCATTATTAACAATGTGTTTTAAAGGGTTCTTTGTCAGTTTTGTGTCTCTTCCAGCCAACAATAGTGTAAGTTCAGTGTACTGTTTGCATAATTTACAAACAGCTAATTATTTAATCAACACTTAGTGTTAGACAAGATAAACAATAGTCTTTGGTTCTGTCACATAGCTGTGCTGCTATTCATGTTGAGATGACATGAATTTATAAAAGTAAATACTTTCACAAATGAGAAACTGTTTAAGTTAAAACATTAATTACAAAGCATAATGGAAGCACAGATGTTCTTCATTTCTGAATATTGCGTTGCTGACGTAGGACAGGCGTAGAGGGATGCTTATTGTTTTTGCCAGACTTTGACACACAACAAATAGCACACCTCAAACTACCTGGTCACCTTTAAAAATATGTGTGAGATTACGGTAGTTTTGCAAAAGTTCTGTTGTTTTGTTTTAAAACAAAAGGCAATCTAGGCATAATCGTAGCAAGAGCTGTGAAATCTCCTATGAAAGCACCTTCTCTGCCCTGGAGATTTAAAACTGGCACTTGAAATAATGCAAAAATTAATCAGCGTATTCATTTCTCATTTCTCATCTTCATTTCTCCCTTCTTCACTACAAAGATTCTGTTTTATTGCTAGTGCTCCACAAAATTATTTGACATACCTATAAAATTCTCCAAAATTTTGAATAAAAACAAGTTGCGATTGCAAACTGAATTGTCTGACAATTTTTTAATTAGAACAGGCACACTGACTCTATTGTCCAGGGTAACTAGTCTATTAGTAAGTATAAAAATTTAATTTCACTTTCAGAACCTTTCTTATAAGCTACATTTTATACAAGGCAACTGAAGCATGGCAGAACATGATTTCTGCCTCTTCTCTTAGGTTATGTAAAACTGTATCTTGTTTAAATCAGTTTTTCGTGTACATTTTTCAGTGTAAGGACTGTTCAGCTTTGTTAGTGGCAGTCATGTTCAATAGCTACTAGGTTATAGAGGTTTATCTACATTATATGTGTTTCTGACAAAACAAATGATGGTTTTAAATAGCATTTAATCTGGAACCTGGTTATCCTGTGTAGGTGAGCTAAACCCCCATATGCTGCACTAAGCATGTTGCAGTGTTGACTGCTACTCACGTTTACTGAGGGAGGAGCCATACCATATGGTACCATTTAATGTTCTGTTCCAGGGTAAAATCTGTCTTAGTGAAATAGAAATCAGCAAACACTGAGGGTAAAAGGCTATCTAGTAGAGCTCTAGAATTCAGCAGAGCTTGGCAGTTGATCTCACTCATTTTTGTAATGCATCTAGTGACTTATCAAAAGGCAAATCAGATATCCCTGTGGACCTTTAATGGATTGACAATACCTTATTTAGGATGGAGAAGGGCTTAGTACTTTGGTGCTATCAGTTAGCAGTACATTCTTTGTCAGCAATATTTGTGCATTATCAGGAGTCAGGAGCTTATTCTGGGCAACAACAGTGTGAACACTGTAAACCATGAGGATAGTTGCCAGTAGGAGCAGTAGGAGTTTGAATGGGAATTTTTCCTGTCCTTTTAGTGTGTTCAGATGTCTCTTTTTTTCCCCATCTTGGTTATCATGCAAGCAGTGAATTCAAAGAGAACATTATTACTAAAATGCTCGTACATTTTATTGTCTGTCCAGGGAAAGATTCTTTTATGACTATATTTTCTAAATTAAAAGCTCAAACTGTCTAGGTGCATGTTCAGTATAAACTGTTTTGAAGGATTGTGTGATTTCCAGAGCTTTTATCAAGACATTCTCTTAAATATTACAGATAATTCACAGAACTTTTTCACTACAACAGGCACTTGTAGTTTGGTTTTCAGTTGACAGCAAAAAGAAAAATAACTAGTGGGTGGGAAAAAAGAAGAAACAAAACAGGCAAAATAATTGCTATTGTTTTGATTAATGGATATATCGAAGTGGAAAATGTCACTTCATTTGTTTTGTCTTGTAGCTGTGCTAGAAGAACTTGTTAACACTGGTCGTCTAAAAGGCACTGTGGTTGGTGGGAGACAGGATAAGGCTGTATTTGTTCCAGACATCTATGCCAGAACGCAGAGCAACTGGGTGGATTCCTTTTTCAAGCAGAATGGTTACCTGGGTAATTAATCTTTATTCTTCTAGATAAAATATCTTTCTAAAACTAGTTTAGGTAATTGGTCAGTTTAGGTAATTGGTCTAACCCTCATATAGCTAGTGTGTAGGGTGCAGCCTCACAAGAATAAGTGGAAATCATTACAGTAGTTGATCCTCCTTTGTTAAAAGACCATCTTCCTTATATTGATGTATATTACTTTATCACAAAGAACCATATTTCAGCAGAGAGAACCATCCTGCTAAACACTAACTTTATTTCTCACAAACAGTTACAAATGCTACTTTTACTACTGTTCTGAAAACATGTCTAAGGCTGCTCATTTTAGATTTTTTAGATGATCACGTTTGAACCATGTGGTTGGAATTTCAGACCAGGTGTCCAGATTACAACCATCTTCGGCTGTTAATAGTCTAGATAGCCAAGGGTGCGGTGCACAGAAAAAACATTTTCTAAAATAAGATTTGTAGAACTAGAGTGAGTTGCACAAGGGTCCTAATTTGAATCCAAAAAAGTCCATCTAACTTAAAGCTGAGTGATGCTGGATGATGGTGTTTTAATACAGGAGCTATGGGAAAATGTGCATATGAATAAACAGAGGAATGTACCCGTGTGGTCCCAAAGGGCCAGTCCTTAAATAAGTTAGTCATGCAGTTTAAAAAGGTTTGGCATAATTTACTATAGTACTATTAAGTGTTTCTGTAATATTGCTTGACTGATGGAGTATCTGTCAAAGACTTTGAATGTTTTCAGAATGTCTAAGAATAAACTAAGTATAAACTAAGTATAAATTCTTCACGGAGAGGGTGGTGAAGCACTGGAACAGGTTGCCCAGAGAAGCTGTGGATGCCCCATCCCTGGAAGTGTTCCAGGCCAGGCTGGATGTGGCTTTGAGCAACCTGGTCTAGTGGAAGGTGTCCCTGTCCATGGCAGGGGGGTTGGAACTGGATGGTCTTTAAGGTCCCTTCCAACCCAAACCAGTCTGTGATTCTATGAAACTGCCAAATAGTTGAAATACTTTGCTTGTGAGCCATTGCATGATTTTATTAGTATATTGGATTAACCTTTGAAAACAAAACATTTTGACATTGTATTTGTTGTAACTATCGTTCATGTTCTCTTAGAATATTTTGTAAAGATATAATTTCAAAGAGAACCAATGGTAGAAGAATAAAAAACCTCCCCCCCCCCCCCCAAACTGAGACCAAAGTCATGTCTGTGATTTAATCTTCATATTTCTATTAACTATGTTTAGGTGTACCTGGTACTGAGTTTTAAGTTTTAGTTCAGCATCATCTTGAGGCTGCATTTACCTGTATAAAAACTATATGTAATTCTTTGTTTCCTGCTTTCAAAAAAAAATACCATTTAAGATCCTGTATGTATATCAAAGTACTTAAATGTAAGAGTCATCTAACTATTTTGTAGAATTTGATGCGTTGTACAGACTTGGCATCCCCGACCCAGCAGGTTACATTAAAAAAAGGTACAAGTCCACACAACTCTTATTTCTGAGAGCAGCTTGTGTTGGTCAAGAAATTGTGGATCAAGTTGAAGCCTCTGTAGAGGAAGCCATCAGCTCTGGAAACTGGATAGATGTAGCAGTAAGCAATCCTTTCAGTTGTTGGATTTATTTATTTTGTCTTATTTTTGTGTCAAATGATACTTCATTGAAACTACACATATGTATAATTAAAATTCCATGTTGTCAGAGAATAATATTTGGTTTAAGTAAAGTATCAAGTAAAAAGGAATTATTTGCCTTGAAGTTAGTCTGAGCAAAAACATGGGAAGGGCGTATCAGTATGCACGTGATAGATACCTAAGTCTAACTTTCATTTTTAAATTAGTGCTAATGCATTCTGTGAGAGAGCAGTACATTTCTGTGGGGTTTTTTGGGTGGGAAAAACATTTAAACTTAACTTGTATGACAGTTTCAGTAAGCAGAGGGATATTAGCCGTTTTGTCCTGGCTAAATCCTTATGTTAGGCCTTACAGCACTACTTGGTCGCTTGTAAGGAGGCCTGCTGGTTTTTTTGTGTTTCATGTTACAGTGTACCTGCTGAGCTGCATTTTGAAGAAGTTACCATGCGTTTTCCCAGAGGAAACACATACTATAGACCAATGTTGATTTGGGATGATAGATTTAAAATAGTGTTCACTCTTAAATCACTAGTTTAATTTTAAAAGTCCAGTACGTTTTAAATAGTTAACAGATGTGAACTGTAGGGTCTGTGGATTCTGTTTATCTACGTGCAAGTATGTCTGTCCATTCTAGAACAGGTTATCGTATGTAAATGATTTTGCTTTTCTTTACCCTAGACTCTTCTGCCCAGTTCGTTGTCAGTAGAAGATGTTGGGATTTTGCTTCAGCAAGTGATGAGATCGTTAAACAAAAATTCTTCAGGATTAGTCTTCAGTGACACCATTGTGGTCAGTGAGAAGTTCCTAAGCAGCTGTACTGACCTGTTTTCTGATATGATGCAACAGAAAGCTGAAAAGGTACACTTTTTATTTTAATTGGTCAAGATGCAATATACATTGAGTGTCGGAGTATAGTTTGTGTGCCTTTCTATTTGCTGTTACCATCTCTTTATATCTCGTCTACTGAAAGGTGTCCCTGCCCATGGCAGGGGCGTTGGAACTAAATGATCCTTCAGGTCCTTTCCAACCTAAACCATGCTGTGATCCTATGATCTGAAATGCAGCTTGAGAAAAAGGGCAAAAATGACGAAAAGCTTTATATATTTAATCAGTGCAATTTTATGTATATTCAGTTGCACTCGGGGAACACCATCACACTAACAGTATGATTCAATGCTGAATTTTGGTGACAAGAATAAATGTCTCTTCATATGTTGCACTTGGAAAACATGGTGTTAGATTATTCTACTTAAAAATTACCAAGTGGGTTAAATGTTTACATATGTATCTTTTGTTGCTGTTTGTATCTTTTTGCTATTAAGTGCATGTTCTTCATTTTAGGAAATGAAAAATAACCCTGTTAATTTAATCACTGAGGAAGACTTAAAACATGCTTCTGTTTTGGAGAATTCATATGCTAATAAAAAAGACAAAAAGGATGAAAGAAGAAAGAAAGCAACAGGTAGGGCATCAATATATAGCTTAAACTAAACAAAACAAAACAGAAAAAAGAGGCTTGTTTAGCCTTGGAAATACTCAAATATAAAGTTACTGTATTTTGTAGTCCATTAATTGTCCCCAGTCCATTGCTGAAGATATTAAAGAAATAATGTGTCCACTTCTCATCATTATACAGTAGGTGTGGATATCTGAGTATGTCCATGAGAACTAATTTCAGATTTAGAAGTGCAGAGAAGTACCATAAAGATATCTTGAGTAAGTGCAACACCAGGCAGATGGCTTTAGAAGCAAGGAATCCACGTTTATTTATTCGTGTGTATGGTATGGTCACGTAAGATTGAGTTGTGAGGGCTGACCAAACCAGTATTAGCCTGGGGACCTCTGTACCATTTTTATTACACACAGATACACTCTTACTCTCCACTTTTTAGGGATCCAGGAAAATGAAACTGTTTTGTAATAGTCTTGAGAAGGTACTTCCAAAATCACACTAAGTGAGAAAGGAGGTATTAAGACAGGGTTTTTTTGAGAATATTGTACATCTTCTCTGAGAATCCCATGGCAGACAATTTTCTGTTGTTTGCATGCAAAACAGTTATTTGGAGATTCACAAAATTAACTTGAAGGTATATTCTGGGTTAAACTAATTCGAAGCCTTATTCCATTTGTGTGATGTGGCTCTTTGGAACAGATCTTAATCTGAGAAAGAATAAAAAATGTGTGGGTTTAACCCTTGCAAATCTTTCTGGGTTTTAAAACATTAATCCGACTAAAGACTGTATTTTCAGTCCCAAAAGCTTTTATGTGGCTCTTGTGTTGCTACAGCACTGCTGAGCAATCTGTGCTAAACTCAGTGCAGAGTTTTATGTGCTGCTGTAAGCAACAGAATTAGAGCACCAATGCACCTAACTTAATGGAATATACTCACCTGAAAAATAAAACATTACATTCTATTCTTTAAAAGGCCATGACTGAGCTGTGGAATCTAAACTTACTCCTGCCACAGACAGCAGATTTTTCTAGGCCAGAGCTGAAGCTGAGAAGCCTGAACTTTAATTGAACTGTCATAAATAGAATGCATTCAGTTTCCAGCCCTCTTGAGGAGTGAGACTCTACTGAGCATGTTCTACGTGCCTAGACATGTTTATATCCGCCTGTAACGTATGCTGCACCGTCAGCGAGCACTACCCTCAAGTGGGTTTTTTATAGACTCTTAGGTGTATCACCTTAAAACAGTCAACATCACGGTTTAAGGATTAGGGTTTGCTATTGTGTAATGGCAGAATGTGACCAGTGTCACGTGACCTATATTAGGGTCTGCGTATGACGATACCAGTATCTGCTGTTTAAGTGTAACCTGTCGTGGCGTAGTGTTAATGCAGTTCATTACAAATACACATTCTGCCAGGTATCGGAATAATGAACATTTTTAAGATAAATTCTGTGTTGTCCATCTATATTATTTTGCAACAGTCTTTTACAAACAATTGTCTGTAGAGGCATGTACTCGTAATCCTTTGTGTACGTTACAGTCCACCGTCATAAAGTATGGGTTTTCTGGCAGTAGTCTCTTCTGCTTCATCTCTCTGTGGATAAGATTTGACTGCAGGTTGCAGCTTTTTCTATAGGGCTATAGAGTGGAATACAAGAACGAAGGGAGCTTGTTTCCAAAATACTGATTGTGTCGCACAGTTGATGAACAGCTTGTATCTGCCCAGCTGAATGCAGTCGCATTTCCAATAAGCTTGTGAAACACACCAACTCCTTTTGGGGTTTTTTTGAGAGGTCACAAACCCAGAATACTCACAATACACCATCTACTGCTAGCTGCAAGTAAACTAGTTTGCTGTTCCTGCAAAGTAACACCTAAAAATCCATCTCTAGCACGTAACAGGTACAGTTAGCTTTGAGAGTAGTAGCATCTTGTCTTTGTGTTTCCTTTTCTTAAATGATAACTCTGTTACGTAATACAGTGACTTGAAATCTTGGACCTTATCTTTAAATGGAAAAATAACTACTTTCTCAAGACTTAGTACATATATAGAACCAGTGATTCTGCAGTTTAAATTTCCTTCAAGTGCACAAAAGGGAATGAGCTGTGATAAAGGGAGCAAACAGCAGAGGAGCTTACCTGGTGGAAAGGGACTGCGTTGTGAATTGGGATCCTGTCTGCAGTGTGAATACATGGATTACGGGACCTATGAACTGAGTGATTTGTTACGTTTGTCAGAACTAGAGCACTTCGTTGCTTTGTAGTCATCTAGGAATAGGCAAAAAAGCATTAGTGCTCTCGTTAATTGAATGCACACGTCCAAGAAATTTTGGATAAATGCTTACTGTGTAGGATTCTGTCTCTGAAAGTTAACGGTTACATTATCTGGAATATTTCTGAGTAGCTACGTTATTCAGCATCACTGAATAAAAATGCTAAATGCTTACTAAGATGCTATTTGCAGCCAACAGAAATTTTCCCATGACCTTATGGAAACTGGTATCTCATTTGTTTTCAGCTGGAAAAAGATACTGCTCTTTTTTTTAATGATGCGTACATTTGATATGATTGGTATTTTTGTTTATTAGTGACATTAGCTTCAACAAAGCTGTCACTCTGTTGCTTTTTTTCCTTAAGAATAAAACTTACAGCCCTAAGATTCTGGAATATGTACTGTAGATTACCTTTAGAATCAGGTTATGTGTTTTTAACTCAGCATTAACAAGCAGTGCAGATAAATTACCCTAATAGTGTAAACTTTAAGTGCTAGCACTTTCCTGTGTACTAAGGAAGTATTTCCCCACCAGAGGGCAGTGGGAGCGTGAGAGGAGGAGGAGGAGGTAATGCGAGAGAGATCAAGGTTAAGAAAACCAAGAAGAAGGGAAGAAAGGATGCTGACAGCGATGAAGAGTCCCAGGCAACTAGCACAGGTTTGTCATTTCATTTTGGGGACAGTCTACTCACACTGACGTGTTTTTGTCACTTGCTTTTCCATATCGCTGGTTTTCCCTGTATTGGTAAGGTCAAGTAAAATATCAAAGAATTAGTGAATACTCTTTCTACTGGAATTGTAGCAATGGATATGATACTGCTACCTAAATGAAATGGACATAGGGTGTTCACTGAACAGTATAACTTAGTCTTTAAAAAAGAAATACATGTATTTTGTTTAGGGTTTTTTAATTTTATTTTATGTAGGAAGAGCCTTAGATTTTGAGATTAATGTTATACTTGGTTTCTTAACATCTGCTGGTCAGTGTGTGATAAACGGAGACGTTGTCATCCAGTTCCAAAGTTTAATTACCTCAAATTAACAAATCATGGCAGTGAAAGAGAAATTTTATCAGTTTTTCCTATGTGTAAAATTTAACTGTCATCCCTCTTTTTGCATTGTTTGGACTTTGTGGCATTTTGATGTCTCAGGCCACAGAGTAGCTGCAGTAAAACCAAACACAGTGTCTTCTCAGTGACTGTTGCTCATGGCCTCTACAGGTAGGAATAAACAGCTGGAGTTCCCTTTCATGTCGCAAGAGGAAATTCAGGATGTTTTAAAAACGCACATGCAGGATTGCCCTGAAGAGCTTATTGCAGAACTTGCTGAACATCTAATAAGGTAATTGTAGTAATTCGACTGGAGTTAGAAAATCTGTGACTCGTTTCAGGTGAATCTTCACTCTCTTTTCTTGCTTAGGAAAAAAATGTTTTCTTGATGGAAGTGAAGCACAATATTTTTTTCTATACAGCTCCGTGTTACATACTTGCTTATGTATTAGAAAGCTGTGCTGACACAGCAGTGACAAATAATGCTTCTGCTTAGCAGGAGGTGGTTCTGCATCCTTTCTCAGCAAGTGTGTTTTCGGGTTCATGGGTGTATTTCCACCCCGTTACACTGTCCCTCTTGGGGTTTCACCAGTCCCATCTTCTGTACGGCCCTTGGTTCATGTCTTTCATGGCTCCGCTGGTACCTGTGTGAACTGGGTGATGAGCTAGATCAGCAAATTGACCTAAGCAAAGATGAGTAACTTCTTTCAAAAGATGTTTCATAAAAGAGAGAGGATGGGAATAGGTGTTTTCAGGGCAAAAAGGACACGGTAGGACTGTTACAGCCCAAGCTTGAATAAACTTGGGAATGTAATGGTAACGACATCTTTAGAAGGGTCGGTGCTATTTTAATGCCACTGAAGTCTTCCCCTCTTACAGCTCTTACTGCTCTGAAATTTGTCCACAGACCCCTGAAAGAGTTTGTGCGTGATGTTGCTTCTGGAAATCTTTACTATCTTTCATCTTGTTCCCATTTATGTTACAAGTTAAAACCTTGGCAAGCACTTACAGACCAAGCACACTTAACCAATAGTACTTCTGAAATTACAAAAATACATTTTAATTTCCTATCACTTTTTTCTGATTTCAATTATTTGGTTTTTGTTTATGTCACCGGTCTGTGGCATTTGTGTCCCATTCATTTACAGAGCAGTGAGGTGGCTTTTGTTATTGCTGATATATTTTGAGAAACCTTCTACAGTTTTACACTTTGGTTAACGTTCCCTTGTTCTCCTTTCTTCTTCCCTGTTCTAAGGCCTTTAACAAAAACTTACCAGGAAGTTGTGCGTTCTGTTTTCACGTCTTCAACATCTTCCTCTGGAGCTAACAGAAGACAGACTATGAAGGACCTGCAGGAGGAATTCTCAAACTTGTACAACAACATTCGATTATTTGAAAAGGGAACAAAGCATTTCGCAGGTACAATAAGTATGTACTTTAAAAAATGAGTATGCTCCTTCCAGGATGTTGAACTTACTCCGGAATCTACGTTCAAGGCCAGCAGTTTAAAAAAGATAAGCTTAGAGATGTGTTTACTCTGCCTAACACTGACCTTAGCTGGAGTGCATCGTTTTGCACCCTGACTGAAATACATTCTCTGTATTTCATTTCTGTACTCTGTCATATCTTCTCTCAAAATTCTTGTCCTTCCTTCCAAAGTGTTTGCATCCCTTCCAGCTTTTATTGTTGGGGGGGAGGGAACTAAAAAAAAAAAGAAAAGGATTAGTAAGCTAACTTCATTTTGTCACCTGTGCCACTAACGAAAGGATTCAATACTACCTAATTCTAAGAAGCCTCTGTTAAAACCATTTTGAGGTTTGATACTGAAAGTAGCTGCTCCTTGAGGGTAATTTTTCAAAAAGGTGTCGATTCATGTTGCAGTGGGTTACTTTGTAAGGAGTCATCTTTAACCCCCTGTATTCTGTGACAGTAGAAAAGTAACATTACGAAAATACTTTAGACATTTCCAAGATTCTCTGCTGTATTCAGCTTTCTTCTAGAACGTTCCCTGCAGAAGCTTATAACAGAAAGAAATGCTAGCAAAAATCCCCAATATGCCTATGTTTAGCAATAGAAGGAATTATTTCCCTTTAGGCTCTGTTCTTGTACATGTATTTGGTAGCCTCTTCTGTTCTGTAAAATTCTACTGGTTCTATCTTGTGATGTGCCTCCTCTTGGGTTTAACTGGTAGTCCTGTAGACTTGTCCTTTATATACTTTTTGCTTATTGATGAATGGCAATGGTGGTTAATTAGTGGCTCAGGCAGATTGCACAGGGACTAGTTTATTGCTTATGCAGATACACCTTTGAAATACTGACAGTGCTGTTACAGACCCACAAGCTCACATTTCACTGATGAATGTTCCATAAGCAACTGCAAATGAGGGATGTTAGTTTCATGTGCCCAGCTAATTTTCTCCTTCTGCTCGTGGTTGATAGAGTCCACATTTTAGGAATTGCGGTGATAACTGCCACAGGAACCAGATAACTGTAATTAGTTACTTCTAATCACTTATTTCTTTTAACAGATGAGACTCAGACTAACCTTTCCAAACACCTGTTGAAGACTGTCTGTACAGACATTACAAATCTTATTTTCAACTTCCTAGCATCTGATTCAATGATGACAACAGAAAATTATTCTACGATCACGAGTGAGGTAAACAGATAACAGTTCCTTTTTAATAGTCTCAAGTAGATCAGTGGTTTTTATTTAATATTTAATTATCTTCTGTTTAAATATGCCTACATCTAAAATGTTAATTAATATGATGGATTATTTCCATTAATGTCTCATACAGGTCCGGACCAAGATTTTAGGTAAATTGCCAGAAGACACAAGAGGTCCTTTGACTAAACTGCATACTTCTCTGAATGGCAAGGTAAAGTGATCCAGAGTCTCTGAGTTCAGATCCTGTGCTAATAAACAGCTGTCATACATAGTGTAGTACATAACTGTTGCTGCTGTGAAGGTTGAAGGCAAAATAATCTTTTGAATTTCTACATCACAGATGATAAGTACATTTTCATATCCATGAATTTTGAAGAGGTGAAAAGGTGATCTTAGATTTTGACACTGATACCTAGCTCCTTGCTTCCACATGGAATCCAGGTTATCTTTTATGGGCAAGTGAGAAAAGTAAAATCTGAGAGAGAATCTGCAGTTTAAAGTGGTTGATGTTTCTTGTGCTTTGTTCCTGAAGTTCCTGATTGTTTTCCCATGTATTTCTTAACTACTACAATCCTGGATATTAAAAAAAAAAAATCAGATTATGGCAGTGTAAGTACAAAGGAAAGTAATTTATTAATTTTTTTATGCAAAAGGCCAAACTGATGTGTTTCTTGAGAAAAAATCTGTAAACAGTTGTAGAACACGTATTCCTTTTTCAATGCCATTTTTAAGGCTGAAGGATTATAGTTTGTTTTAGTATTTAAGTATATGAACTATTGGGAGATGAACAAAGTTTATTTCTGCTTAATACTTTCTACTTTTTCTTTTGTTCCATAGTTTATTCCAAATGAATTCACAGTCATCTGTTTGGGTGACTGTGAACAGTAGTTAACCTTTTTTATAATCTGCTAACACAGATTAAATATTTGTATCATTTTTTTAATAGAGTATAGAAGATTTTCTTTCATGCCTCGATTCTGCAGTGGATATTTGTGGTATTATGGTGAAAAAAGGAGACAAAAAGAAGGAAAGGTACCTTAATTTTATTCTGTGCACAGTATGTGAAATGTAGCTCTGTTGCTGCACAAATGTCAGGTGGTTAGTTTGGTAGCAGAATGTGTAAGAGACAGTCTTTCTTTCCAAACTGTTTAACTGAAAAATACAAAGCCGAGCAGTCCTAACTCCATGGGAGAAGGAGGAGGGGAGGGTTCATATTTACCTAATTTTTGCTCGACTGGCTGCTTACTACAGCATCTCAGTTTATAAATTCTCTTGGGAGGCTTTCCAAAATGTGAGCTACGTCAGTGCTGGCTTTTTTATTTTAATGTGGAAAGAACCGTCCGGACAGAGGAGAAACAAAATTAATTGAAGTTAGATATGTTTTAGAGTCTACTGTTTACTGTAAGACAGAACAAGAAATGTATTTGTGTATAATGTATTTCTGTTCCTTAGGCAAGTCCTGTTTCAGCATAGACAAGCTTTGATTGAACAGCTAAAAGTCACAGAAGATCCAGCTCTTGTTCTGCACCTGACATCAGTGCTGTTATTTCAGTTTTCAACCCACTGTATGCTTCATGCACCAGGAAGATCAGTGCCACAGATCATTAATTTCCTAAGTGGCAAGATCCCAGAGGTATTTCTTTCTAGCTTTTTAAGGGGAAGGTATCTTTTTTCCATGACAGAACGTAAATTTGTGCCTTATACTATTTCTGCTGCATAAAACTGGCACCTTTGAGTTTCATGTGTGAATCATTACTTGATGATTATATCATCAAGTAATGACTAAATAATGCAGATTATATCACTTCTCTGATTGTATTCTGATTTCTCTGTGTTGTATTTCAAACCTGTCATTTCAGGGATCTGTCTTCAGTGTTTTTTTAATAAAATTAAAGATCAGCCTGTTAGAAGTATTTTAACTTTTGCCTTTCTCCATAGAGACAGCTGTGTATCGGGGGATGTTGTAATTCTTATAACTGAAATTTTTTACACTCACTTTCCTCCCCACTTTGCTTTTTAAACTTTTCTAATTCAATTTTAAAGAAAGATGTACCTCTATAAAAATAAAAATATTTAAATTCTATATTCTAATCTGCCAGAACTGGTGGTGTTTACTGACTGTGTTGCTTTCCTGCTTCAGTGGTTAATTGTCCTGTTCTTGCGGCATGGATGCACTTTCATTTTTCTGCCTCTTTGAATGTGTCTCAGAATTTAGGTTGCAAAATACGGTGATGGAAATATATTTATGTATCAGTAACCCTCTTGAGGCAAGAATGGGAAAATGCTTTTTTTAAAAATTTAACCTTTAATTAAAGGTCTGTGTAGCTTCTCCATAACATTGACTTTCCTTTGTTTTGTTCTGTTTTTTCCCCTCAGGATCAGCAGTCTCTGTTAGTCAAATACCAGGGATTAGTAGTCAAACAGTTGATCAGCCAGACCAAGAAGATTGAACAGGGAGACAGTGACACAACAGATAACCTGGAGGAGGAGGAAGGAGCAGATGCTATTCGAAAAGAGCTCCAGGAAATCACTACCTCTATCAAGGATCTTGTTCTCAGACCTAGGAAATCTTCTGTAACAGAGGAGTGAAATTACAATCCTGTGCATCCACATCAGTGATACAGTGAGAATTTATGGGGTTTTGTCTTGAAGGATGGCAGAAAATGCTTGATAATCTTTAAAATTCGGTTTCTAACCATTGCAGATTACAGCCAGGGAACACGGTTGTTGAGTGACTGGTGGCAAATGGAGTTTTGTTATATACTGGTACAGTGTACGTGTAACATACATCAAACGTAGATGTGACAGAGCACACTTGTGGACACTTTGGGTGTGAAATTAGTGGGTTTTAATTGGCATCTTCATGTGAGGCCTCAAGAAATGCTTATTCCTCAAATAACAGTGTGTTCTGTTCAATACAGACACAGGCTTATAGTTCCATTTTTCTGATTTGGATTTATAGTGATCTGTGGATTGCATATAAGCCTGTATACCTTAATTTCAAAGAGTAGTTTTGAACCATATACTGATACCTCATAGTATACCAATGAAAGGCCATCTTTACTTCTTGATATCATTAGTGGATGTCTTCAGCTTCTGTTCCCGGGACCGCAACAGTAAAAACATTGAGTACAGGTGTGAGGGAAGTGACCCAGTACTAATATAAGTTTCTAAATGTACTGAAAGCTTATGAAAATCAGCACACTCACGCTACTAATGTATTCTGTAGTTGTCTGTAGTAGCACTTCATTTAAAGCTTGTAACTGGGACAGAGGAGGTTATCACCTCTTTTTGCATTGGTGTTTAGGGGGTGGATAAATACTGCTACGCCTGACATGTTTTACGTGCTGTATGTTCATTCAGCAGACTTGGTGAGTTCTTAGTCCAGTTCCCACAGCATTTGGAAGTACTTGCTTGCATTCTGTCAGCTCCTTGAGAGAACTTGTGGTATTCTGTTTATCCTGAATTTCTTGAAAAGAATGTAGTTTATGATGTTTGTACATAAACTTTATAGACAGAAATATTGGCTAAAGGTTTTTACCAGCCTTATTTTTACATGAGCGCTACTTTATGTCTTCAGGAAAGTGGAAAAATGTGTAAAATAGACTCTGCCACTGTTAATGATATGATTCTTGTATGTCAAATATACTTCTGACTTCCTTTTAAGAGAAGCTAATTTTCAAACCAGAAGTATTTTAGTTGTATTATTTCGGTAATGCCCATTGATTTAATGTGTGTAATTTCCATTTTTTGCATAAAATCTAGTTTGAGTAGTAAGACAAGAAATAGAGTTCTTTTCACTAAAAATGGCATTCGCCCATTCTTGACAAAATTCTTTGATGATGAAAGAAAGCAAATTCTGTGCAAGCCCTACTCTGTTGAAATATTTCTGTTTTCAACAGTTTACAGATTCTACAAGCTTACTCATAGATACATCCAAGCCCGAAATTGCAGCAAATGGAAGTTGCAGAGGCCAAATATGGAAGCTCAGTAACAGGTTAACCAGGGTTAAGTTAATTTTGGTAAGATAAAAAATGGAATTTTGTGGGTATATAAAAGGCTGTAATGTTTAACAATCCTCACATCAGTGCTGATCTTTTACAAGCTGTAAGGTGCAACAGTTTGCCAGTTGTAAGGCAGAAGCAAAGGTAGTTGTTACTCTTTCCTTGCCTGGAGGCTATCATACCTGCCAGTAAAGGACAATGAGGAGTAAGAGATGAAAAATATTGAGGCTGTTTAACTTTGTTCAAGACGTAGAGTTTGCGTACAGGGAATAGGTTTGATTTCTTGCTTTTAGCCTGAATAATTAAGTTCCTATGCTGAATGTAAACAATTTTATAAGACATTGAGATATTTTGTATATAATATGCCATATGACATTCTGTATGCAAATATGAAATTATTTTAATAACATTAAAGGCTGAAGTATTTAAAATGCACTCTGTTGACTTAAGCAATGGTTGATCATCTTGCGACTTGCAGCTTTTAAACAGCAATTGGTAATGTGCATCATTGGATTTCACATGCCATTCTGAGTGTCCGTGTATTTTTGTTTGGTACTGTTTTATGCTGGAATAATAATGGACTTATATCATACTATATCATGTGATAGACTTGCTGTGTTGTAGACAATGTTATAAGAATGATAAAAGTATATATTCTTCAAAGTAGACACAAGGAGAACACTAAGATTCATATCTATCTGCTGGCTACTAACAGAATTCAAGGAGACATAGGTTGGAAAACCTTCCCAGATATTTTTATTGTCACTTAGATATGGAAAATCAATCTTTAGTTTATGAAATGGAAGTATTTTGAAAGAGAAAGAAAAGGAATATTCACATTTTCCTGAATATTTTCCTAATTCATGGGGTTTTTTCCTCTCCCTAGGAGGAGTGTGTGCAGGAGGAAGAGTAATCTCATCTTAGAAATCAGAGGTTCAGTTCACAAAACAAAATTGCCCCTTGGAATATCTAGGAAAATGAAAGGCAATTCAAAGTATACTAATTAACACTTTCACTTTGGTTTTAAGTATTTAGTGTCAGCCTCTCATGCCCTTCACCTATGGTATTTAACCACCACCATTACATTTTTATAGACTCCGAAAGCTGACATGTATGTATGCAGGTATGTATATTTACACCAGTATTTATAAACACGCATCTCCTAGCCTCAGTTGCTGCCACTCTTGGCAAATTGGAACGGGTGCATTAGCCATAGGTAGAAGAATGCCTTTCTCAGCAACCTCCTTTCCCTGCTTTTAAGTGGCAAAATGTGACTTTTGTACCTGGTTATTTGCAGGTCTGCTGGACCTCTTAGAACTTGCAGCCTTCTTTCCACTTCTCTTGTTTTGCAGCTGTTTTAAAAAAAAACAGTTGTCACAAGTTTCTAAGGAACAGCGTTGGGTTCTGTCATCTGCGCGAATCCATCTCGCAGCTCGTTCAGACAGAGCCACAGTGCTTCTGTTCTCTGTGTAGGCTCAGGAGTAGGCTACTCAGGCAGTGGTGGCTCCTTGAATTTTTAGTAACAGTTACATTTCCTTAGGCCAGGAAAATGGAAATTTCTATAAAACTGGATAGGTTTGGGGTTTTTTTAAATATAAAGTCGAGTACTCTTGCAGAAGACACAAGAGTGTACTGGGTCAGATCAAAGGTCTGTGGAGCCCAGTATTGTGTCTCCAGCAGGGGCCAAAAGTGGATGCCGAGGGAGGAATTTAAGATCAAGGCATGTAGTGATTTTTCCCTTGGGTGCTTTTTGAGCCTCCAAATATGTGCTTCTCAGACTTCTTGAACGATGATTATACTTTAAAGATAGAAAATGGGAATTATCTGAAGCTTTTGGGTAAACAGGATACTTGTGAGAGCAGCATTCCTTTCTCTGATGACCCAAATAACATACTCAGTAAATGCCAAAGATGTTTTCTCAGGAAAACAACAGATCAATTTATTTACTTAATTTTTTTTAGGAATTGTTAAGGAATTACTTTTTTTTTTTAATTTAACAGAAAAAAAAATAATCTGAAGTGGGAAAAGCAACTTGAGAAGTTTAACGAGAAACACCATTTGGTTGATGAATTTCCCAGATCCTCGATGTGAAAAGGAAGTTAGGTCAAGGCAGGTCATGTCTGGGGACGGATGAAGTATGCTGCTTTCCATTTCAGGAGGTTCAGGAAGAGATGTGGGAGCCGGATGAGACATCCTCTAACTGATACTCTAAGGAAGCAGCTGAGATTTTGTTGTCCTCTTCAGTTGTACTCAATTTGCACCAGTTGGCAAGATCTCTGTTTCAAGAGCTTCTCTGGCCATGTCTTCTATTAACACAGTGATGATCTCTGTCTGCAGTGACACAAATTTAAGTGTAGGCTTTGAAGTTTAAGGTGATATGTTGGAAGAGGGGTCTACTTCTCAGCCTTTCTGGAAAGAATGTCTTGCTTTAGAAGTATTTCTAAGTGTTATTAACTCCTTTGACAGATCCATTTGGATAATACTTGTGCCTTGTGAGCTTCAAAAGGTTCTCAGTCAAGAACTGTCATTTCATTATTTATTTTTTTGGAAGTAAAGGCAAGAGGAAGCTATTCATGATTTTCAAATTCTGGACTCCAGACTTAACTTGTCCTGCAGAAAATCTGAAAAAAAAATCCAAGCTTTAAAAATCAGTATAGAAGTGCTTGGTATAAATAAAGCTTGTGGCTCACACAACAGTAGGAGGAAATAACTCAGTCTAGGTTGAGTATAAGACAAAATATCTGTCTGCAGAGTTTTGATAAACCAATCATCTACAAATAGGGATGATGGATTCTGTGCAATAATAATCAAGTGATCAGTCTTATGTAGCATCTTGCAAGGTACTACCTAGACAGAGAGAACCTCTGGAATACGTTGTCCTGTTTTGGTAGTGGTGCCAAAGTCTTCAGGTCTTTAATAGATCTTTAAACTGTTCAAACGTTTCCCTTCTTTCTTCTATCTGTGACATAAACCAGCTCCCACACGCTTGACATTATGGACTCAGTGATTCAGATCTATTGGCCCTTGGTTATGGAAAAATCTGCCTGGAGGTCAGTAGTGGTTCAAACCACAAGCAGTCATGCCTTTTTTTCACTCCGCTTGACTTCATCCTGCATTTTTAATGGATGCAATATCCTTCTTTCAGCTGCGATTGATTAGAGGTTTGCGTAGAGACCTACTCAAGCCATAAGCACTCCTGTACGTATGCTCCACACCCACAGTAGCTGTCAGTGGAAGTCGGCTGGCCCCTGCTCTGCAATTCAAAGACGGCCAGAACTGAGGAGTACGGAAGGAGAACCTAGGAGTGGCCACAACCTAGGAGTGCTGCCACTCAGATGGTAAGGCCATATGGACACCTGTGGGAAGAGCAGCAAAATGTTCCAGAGCGGAAATGTCTTTAGTGGTGTCAGAGCAGTTCTGCTGGGTCCCCAGTTCTGAAACTGGGAAAGTGTTTCTCCCTGCCCCCCATTTCCTGTACACTTTAGTCATCACTATTTTTCTTTCCTGATTTACAAGCCCACGTGAGATCTCTTGGGTTCATTATGCACGGACCAAAGCATATCCGGGAATGAATTATGACTCTTA